CGCGTCGATTTTACGGCTCCCTCGCCGGCTTTACAGCGAAAAAAAACATTCGTTGTCCCGCGAGATAATCCGGGATCTCACGGCGTCGCGCGAACGCGGCGTTTCCGCGGGATCCTTTACGTGGCCGCTCGTCGCTTCAATTCTTTATGAACGACAATTTGCGCGACACGTTACGACTATCAGCCGCTTAACACGCCATTCGACCTCGCGGTCGTTGCGATTTCGTTGCTCATTGGACTGTTAAGTGTACTTTGACGGTCATACTACTTGCCATTGTTCTTCCCTCGCCAGAGGGACACTCGTCTCTCTTGCGAGCTGCCTCGCTTTTCCTCTCTTGTTATATCGGTCTCTTATACTCGATCTTTGTTTGGATTCATCTTCTCTTTCTCCCCCGCTCGTTCCTTTTTATTGTTGTTCACCTGACTGAAGGATTAAGCCACGATATTAGTTCTCGGACCTTTACAGTTAGAAAAAGAGAGCGGGAGACTCTCCAAGCTTGAGTCTCCGTCAGAGGTCATTGAAAAATTCCGGGTTTTCTCAGGTCGGCGGGAGCGAGTCGGTTCCTCCGCCATCGGATTTTATCGCCAGGCTATCGACGATCGTTAAATTACACGGCTGCAAATCCCGTGCACTTTGACGACGCCTCCTCGCGCGAGCTCGCGCTAATTACGTTTCCCGGGAGTTTCACACGCGACGCTTTTTCAGATCGCGCTCGATGAATTCCCCGGCAATCGCCGGGCCGATTAAATGTCCGCCGTCTATTAATATTACGACAACCGAATATCCAGGCAACTTGATGTATCGCGCGCGATTAAGCGCACGCGGAATACGGACGGATCGTATTGCGGGAATATCGAAAATCGATAAGAGGGGGGCGCATTACCATTTTTCACGTGGAACATGATACGCCCCGCCTATATTATCATAAGAAACATATTTATCATCTCGTCTCGGGCTTATTACGGCGAAATATGTCTGCAGAGAAGAAAAAGAGGAAGGAAACACGGCGATGCACAGACTAAACGTTGTGTACGATGTGGCAGAAATTCCGCTTAGCATTGAGAAAGCCTCGACTCGCGATCCCGCGTATAGCTGTGCGTGTGATACACACACACACACACACGCATGCATACATCTCCGCCTGTCTGTATTCTATTTTTATCTATTCATACAGTTTTTTTTCCCTTCCGCCTTTTTCCGCGGAACGCTGTTCCTTTTCCCGCGACGCGCGGTTAGGCGATAAATTCTGTACGGGAAACGAGATGTGCGCTCGGAAAATGCGAGCGCGATAACCCCGCTTTGACCCCGAGTGGACTCTTGACCCCGTTTCGAAAACGCTTAATTTATAGTAATGTATTGTCGCGCTGTGTGATCGAATCGCGTCCTCGTTTCGTCGCGATGGCGATCCTTAATATTGAATCTGCGCGTTTATTAGCCCGACGGGAGTGACACGCGTGCGTTCGGACTTGCCTTCGAAGATCCAGCCAGTCGATCAGTCCTCGAAAGGATTCGCGGCATGAGCGCCATGAGAACGGAGTTCTAGATTTCCGGATTTTACGCCGCGGTTTGCCGAACACACATACACACACACAGAGATATGTATACTAATTAGTTCCTTGCAGAAACCAGTCGCGATAACGCTGTTGAATAGACGACGCATTATCGTAGATTGCACGCCGCGTTTGATAGATTTTATCGCCCGACCTTTCTCTCCTTTTCCCTTACTTGCGCATCCTTTGTGTAGGTCCTTGTTATCCGCGCCGAACGCCGAGTAAAATTTTCACTCCCGACCGTACCGTACTTCTCGCAGCGTGAAAAATTGAGACGATGCCTGCATAAAAAAAAAAAAAAACTGCACGAGAGGTCCGCGCTGAAACTTTCACGCGGTGCGCGCACGCAGTCGACCCTCTAAATTAAATGGTGAAACTTCAAGGATTTAAATTCCCCCCGTGAAGGGCGGACGTCGCGCTGCCAGCCGCTGCCAGCCGCGATTGTTCTTATTTCATAAATCCACGCTACTCCGTGAGATTACGCTGAGTCTTTAATTAAAAGGCGAGACGCCTGAGTTACTTTCAAGCGGATTACTATAGTTACATTTCTAACCCTCCCCCGCGCTACTATTATCTGTGCCAGTCAGATGTGTCGCGTGTCGTTCAACAGCGCGTTTAATAAATTAGGCTATCCGTTCGTTTCCGTTACTTTCCGAATTCCGTCCCGAAAGTAGACTGACGATCGCCCGAATTCGAGCAACTTTTCAGACCAGTACCAGGCGAATTTCCCGGCCTTGAAACGTCGAGTGAATAATTTCACCCAGAACCGGAGGAGTGAATCTGATCACTCCGCAATCGCAGGTGCAAATTCGCAATCCAGCCAGCTGGATTGAAACTCTCACTCGTACGAAGTGACTGCTAAATCGCGAAACTTGCGATCGCCGCCGCATCGCTCCTCTTCTTTATCGGTCGGCAATTCGACCCGCAGCGCGAGATCGTCAGTTCACTGAGCCGATCGACTTACAGATCGCTAATTAATACTCGTTCGTCCGACTCCATTGGCTGTGTCACGATATATCGCGGCCGGCCGCCATACACATCTCCATTTGCTTTCGCCGCCCGCGACCGCGAATTGCCGCGAATAATTGAAATTAATAGCGCTCCGCCCCGTCCATTCTTTCGCATCGCGAGCGCATCGGCCGGCGCCATTGTTCGGCGCGAAGGTATGATTAATGTTTCCCATCGTTGAATTAATTCCCGGGCGAAAGCATAAACGCCTTTTGTCTCCCCGCCCCGACGTAGATTAAGCTCCTGACCTCTCCTTTTTTTGCCTCGCAAAAATGCACACTGCACCTGCGCTCACCCAGTCGCCCCGCTGTCCCCGTCTCCCTCCCTCCCTCCCTCCCTCCTCCCCCTCGCCCCCGTCCTCGTCGCCGCCATCGCGATGTGCAATTATTTCGATACATTCGTGTCGCGCACATAAATACCGCACACGATGACACGATTGAAAAAGTTTAATGACGTCCCATCGTTTCACTCGCGGATGCACTTCGGCTTTGTCCTGTTTTGACGATTTTCTCTCCTCTCCCTCCCCCCTCTCTCTCTCTCTCTCTCTCTCTCTTTCTTTTTCTCCCTTTGTCTGTCTGTTTTCGCGACGCGACGACGTGTCGACCCGAAAGTCCGCTAGTTAACGCGGCGCGGTAACGAGATAAATATCGATTCACCGCGTGTTCGCGTGTGCTCATCTCGCTGCAATCACACACAATTAACGCCACCGACTGGGACCTCTCCCTCCTCCTGCGCGCGTGTATCCGCGACGCGCTAATTGCGCGATAAAAATAGCGCGAGGAGCCGGCTCAGAGCCGCAAGTGCACGCGCCGGCGCACAGTGGAGCCAGATGACATTTCTTGGTTGAAAATTCTCTAGAGACCTGAATTTCCAACCGATCATCGACACCGATGGATGAGGTTGATCCTGAATAAACTCCAAAGAGATCTGTCTTGCCGAAAGTTTGAAAACATTGTCGGTTCAGGGCTCATGGGTTTGGGATTTGTCTTAAAAGTTTATCATTTTCATCATTAATTTTATCATTAAAAGGTTATCGTTTAAAGTAGTTAGTGTCTTGGGTTCGACCTCAATGGGTTCGAGCCTGTGGACACTAAATGCGAGACCCCAGAACTTATAATCACCTTTTAGAAGACTCAGAATTTCAAAGCTCCTCATTTCAGCCCACATGAAGAAAGAATTAAGCCATGTGGACCCAATGAGTAAAAACATGGAGAACATTGAACAAACCTTCCAACCCTAACCTGATGGTCCATGAGCCTAAAGTTTATAAACCTCAGCTCGTAAGCCATCATACGGAGATAGAAAGTATCTTTCACAGTTCAATCAATCCGCTGAATACGCTATTAGATAGAAATAAGTGTCGAATAATGAGTATTTCACAAGTTTCTCGCGTTTAACGATAATTTTTCCTCTTTCGGGGCTAGTAATTTCGAGAAAAAAATTTTCTTTAAATTTTGGCAAGACAGATCTCTTCGGAATGTATTCAGGATCAATCTCATCCACCGGTGTCGATGATCGGTTGGAAATTCAGGTCTCTCGAGAATTTTCAACAAAAAAATGTCGTCTGACCCCCGACTGTGCGGCGGCGCCTAAACCGACGGTGACTTCGCAGCCGCGCAGCCACGCAGACTTCGCAGTCACGATTAATTACGATTATGCGTCGTAATTAATCGTGACTGTGCTTGCGACGGAAACAGTTTAATTACCGTAGCCGGATTTTCGTCACCGCGTGCGCACACGCATGCACAATTTGCGCGCCCGCGTTGCCACCGGGATCTCTCGACTCACATCGCTGTGTAGCTCGAAGTTTCGCGCGGAATCTCGCCAACTTCCGAGCTGCCACCGCGAGTAGTCCAGCCGGCGAGACGCACGCGGAGAAAAGATATGTCCTGCTTTCGAGCTAAACTTCACCTCAACTTCGCTTCAAGTATCGCACAAGTTTACCCGCAGATCTAGCCTAAGCATGAAATCTGCTCGAAATACACTGCGAGAGCTGCCCGGCGCAAGTTCAGCGCTTCAATGAAGAATATCGCTTATTCCGGACGCAAGGATATTGGATTAAGACGCAAGTGACTTCTCACCTGCTTCTTACGCGGAGCGCAAGTTTCATAATGTTCCTGAGGAGGAGATAAATCCTCGTCCGGAGGACGCACGATAATGAGCTTTTCTAAAAACAAGTCGCGAGAGTCCTAAGACCGCTTATCGGGAAGGTATTCTTTGTTGAAGATAAGCAGCGCGCTTGAAAGAGGGAAAGTGAGCAGAGTAGTCGCTTCTCTTAGCAGTAGAACGATCTTTCGCCTCGTCCCCGAGTCGTCGCTGCTGCGCGACTTTTCCGCGTGTTCGCAACCGGCCGCGGGCGCAGCTCGCATGAACGAGCGAACGTTGAGACTCGAACGAACGACGACGACGAATTATTTTTCACACCCCCCCCCCTCCCCGAAGAGACGCGGCCACCGGTCACGTCGACGCGACGATGAGCGAGCACGATGTGTAGCGTAGCCGATAGCCGGTAAAAGTGCTGACGGAAGGCGGCAGCAATAATGCCGGACAAAAATCCGGGCCAGTGCCGAGATGGACAACGCGACAAAGATTTCCTCGCCGGCGAGATCTCATCCATCGGCATGTCGCTGCGGCCCAGCGGGAGCGCATCCTCCGGTGAGTAGCTCCGCTCCGCGAGGACGGTCGCCGTCGCGACCGGGAGACTCACGAGGAACATCCGCGAAGTGTGTGTCTCCGATTTCGACGAAACTTGGCATATTTGTAGAGCAGCCGAAAATAAGAGACCTACATGTTTCTTTTTTTTTTTCTTATCGGCAATGGCTGCTCAGGTTCAAGGGAAGGAAGGAACTTTTTGAACAAAGATCGTGCGGTTTTTTACGCTGTACAATTGCTTCGTTTAAAAAGTTCTCTTCTATCTGCGATAATTATCGAGATAGCATAGAGGGGATGAAACTTCGAGGGGCAGCTTTATCCTTTAAACCTGAGCCATTGCCGATAAAAAGAAAATATGGCTCTTTTATTTCTGGCTACTCTACAAATATGCATACAAGTTTCGTCGAAATTGAAGACACACACACACTTCTCGCGGATGTTTCTCGTTAGACTCACAGAGGAAGACCATCGGCTCTCGACGCCCCTCGTAACTCGTCGTCACGAGATTTGCGCCCACGAGACGGCTCGCGCTCCATCATCGAGCGAGTCGCGGAGATCTGCGCGCGAAATAACGCAACTGGTTGGTTATTTTAATTGTTATTTATTGCAACGATACGAAATATCGCGCGATTTGTTACAAGAGCGGCGACTCGCGATTTCAAGCTTTATTCTCGTTATCCATCTGAGCGGCGGAGCCGGCAGGCAGGAGGAGTCTGTCGGTCCGATCCTCCGTCGAAGCGATCCTCGAGATGCTGGGTCGAAATATTCACAGCGTCCGTCACACGTCGATCATTCCGAAGAGTCGAAGAAAGGTCTGGCGGAGGATCGCCGGCGGACCGTCTTGCCTGCCGTCGTAGAGACGTGGGGATCGAGCCTGATTCGTCGGGTTGTTAATACACGGCTGCTATGTGGCCGACTTGGATTCCTTCAACTGCCGCAGCAGCTTCCTCACGACGTGGCCGTTGGTGACGCTACGGCCCGCTGCGACGCACTTGGTGAGCTCCTTCCTCGCGTGCACGCAGTCCTGCGGGATGGCCAGCGGGTAAGACTCGGCGGTGGTGAGGCCGCTGCGAAGCTGATTGAACAGATTGAAGATGACGCATTCCTTCAAGAGGACCTCGGAGTCGGCCACTTTGCCGTCGTCCGCGGCGCAGAGCCACAGCAAACTGTCCAGCCAGTCCTCGTCCCCGCGTTGCTCGCTTTTGTAATCGACGCCCAGGTCGTGCAGCCACAGCGTCAGCTGGAATACAGAGATATTCAGAGACTCGTCTCCGAGGACCGAGAGCCGACGTCTCCTCTCCGACGTCGGACGTATCGTTGATAGCGCGTTGGGAAGCGTCAGAACGGAACATCCGGTCAGATAGTTTGGCCGGAATGTGAACGCGGCGATATCTATGATTGGAATATCAATATCTACACTCACGCACGTCGCTGCGCCGCGCTGCGACGATATCGTCACTGTGGCGATGCTGGCGCAGAGTCAACTTGCGAAAATAATGACCGAGCCGTGAGGCCTGGATGCTTCGATATTCGCGTCGCGTTTGCGCTCTCCCGAAGCGATTTTTCACCACGTACCACGTGAATTTTTCCTCTCTTTCATTCTCTCCAAATCGCCGAGTGAGTAATTTCATTGTGATTTCATCGCGGCGACGCGCTTCCACATCGCGATTCGTATCGCGGCCAAGAACTCCATTCTAAGCTCGAATTAAACATTCACCCTCCCGCGATCGCCGAGAGCGGAGGGATATCTCCTCGTCGTCGCTTCGAGTGAACCTCCAGCGCGTTGCTGGGAAATTTCGCTGGAAGAAATCTCGCAAGACAGAGCGCTGACCCGTCATGCTGACGCTCGCGAGCACGCTCTCGAGATCTCGACGATACGTTTGCGACGGGAAGTGCCATGGAAATGCGGAGGCTCACCGTGCCGCGACAGCGGAAGCTGAGGGGATTGTCGGAGAAGCGGAACTTTTCGAGACCCGCCATCGGCATGAGCTGAACCGGTTCCAAGCACGTCAAACGGTTCTGCCTGACGTCGAGCCTTCTGAGGCCTCGCAGCCTCTCGAAGGCCGTCGGCTCGATCGACGTGATGAGATTGTGCGAGAGATCCAGCTGCTCCAGGGACGGCAGACTGGCGAACCACTGGTCCCTCAGCAACGTGATGTTATTGTACGGCAGGCTGAGCTTCTTCAAGCCCGTCAGCCCGTCGAACGCGTAATCGGAGATCGTCCTGATGCCGCAGTCCTGCATATTCAAGGAGACCAGGCTCCTGCCGTACCTCGTGAACGACCGCTCAGGGATATTCTCTATGCGCGATTGGAAGACCGTGATGTCGCCGATGTCCGACAACTGGCCGTAGTTTACGACGGTGTTCAGAGTCACGTCGACGCATCTCAGGTGCTCGAGGGATCCTGCGCACGCGGTGTTAAATGCGAGTCCGCTCCGTGAGGGGAAATTTCCGTACTTTTGTCGCACGGTATATCATCTACTGTGTTATACTGCGCAATTGGGATATACATTCATACCGAAAGCTGAATTTATGTTTTACGACGATGAACCGATAGTTCATTCGGATCGTGATCGTACAGCTAACTTTGCAATATGAAAGTTTATGCTGCACGTAGAATTGTTTTCCATCGCTACCCTTAAATGTCTCGGATGATATGTGGATATATTTTATTTTCGTAGCTCTCTATTTGGTGTATCCAAGAGAAACATTATTATTATTATTATTATTATTATGCTGTTATTATTTGGCTGATCAAAGATTGCAACATTTTTCTTTGGGGAATTTTGCAACTTATTCCGCGTGTCCGGGAAAATTTAGAGAATTTTCTGAGAATTACGAGAATAATTCTCTCGTAGTGGATGTCGGACGCGTTACCAAGCGAAGCTAGTCGAAGAAAAATGTTGCAACTTGTAATCGGCCAAGTATTAGAGATGTGCGAACTATTCGAGTTCGAATCTGAATCCCTATGATTCGAATCCGAATAATACGAAAATTTCGAATCGAAGATTCAATTACGAATCAAATATATTAGCGTGCATTATATTTGCATGCATCAAGTACAAAACGAGACATCTGGGCCTGTATGTTTGAACCCTTAACTTGTAATTAACTTAACTTATAATTAATAACTTAATTATAAATTACTTTAAATATTTAAATATATATTTTACTTTAAGATGATATTACAATATCAATATCCCCTTTCATATTAAAACCTTCCATCATTATGTGCATGTTTAATAGTCATGTTAAATTTTTTAATGATTCGATTCGATTCGAATTCGAATGAAATTTCATAGATTCGATTCGATTCGAATTCGAATTAAAAAAATGAGATTCGATTCGATTCGATTCGACATAAAAATTCTTGATTCGCACATCTCTACCAAGTATACGAGTATGCTTCGAAAAGGACTTTCTCCGCGTAGTGATCGCGGGAGCGAAGGTAAGAGCAATCGATCCGATCGCTCTGTCTCGCAGCCCCAGCAATTTGTAATTTATACGCGACAGCATAAGACAACGGACGATTCTCTCGCTGTAACGCGTTCTCGTTGAATCGCGAGGTAAGGGGTCTTTCTCGCGAAACACTAGGCGAGAATCTAGGACGCGTTCTCGTTAAATATCGCGGCGCAGTCTCACCTTCCTCGTATTTGCTGGAGGTGCAGGCCGCGATTGCGGTGCCTGCGAGAGCGGAAATGCAGGCAAGAACGAGAAGCGAGATCCGGCACATCGCGAAGCGCGCGTTGCTCGGACGGTTGTTTTACGACTGACTATCTAGCGCCGAAAACGGATGCGAGAATTGCGGGCGATTCCTCCCCGTGTGTGTGTGTGTGTGTGCTGAATTATCACGACCGGCGCTTCCCGTTCTCCGCGAGTGATACCGCCTTATCGGTGAGGCAATTGTTACGCAAATATGAAGCGGAGAGATCCCATCGATCATAAAAGAGAAACGAAACTTAGTGATAAAAATAATTTTAGCGATATCCTTGATCGTTCCAACGAGAGAAACGAATCTCGTCATTGAACGTACGATTAGCGTTGATTAACGACCAAGTCACTCACTCGATTGTAACATTACAATTATGACATTTTGTAATATCTGCGTATGCAAATTGTCCCTTTGCAAAAATGTCCGAGGCGTTTTCTCGTTTTTCTTTTTTTTTTGTATTTTTTTCCTTTTTTTCTGAGGTGCGGATGATGATCTCGTGCCGTTCGCGGATGAGTTAGTCTCTGCTCTCTCCTACGTCTCCTCGAGCGAATTTGCCGAAACGAATGTGGATTGTTTTTCTTCTCGGCAGGCATCTCGACCCTCGCTAGTTGCGGCGAAGTCGACGCGTTGCCGGAGCTGCCGGCGCAGGATGAGGAACGCCTGCAGCGCGCTGCGCGCTTGCTGCAGCAGAGGCTGGTGCTACGTCAATGGTTGACGGATCATGGCCTACACAGCTATTATCAAAAGTAAGAGGAAGGGTGAAGCCATTCTTATGAAGCATCTCTAACTATAACCAATAACTATAACCAATTTTGTCAGACGTCAATCTGCTCGTCATCTTTTCATGTTTCTTGTTCTCGTCGACGTCGGTCGCAGCCGATTTAATTGACAAGTTCGCGTCACTACAATCGTCATCCTATTCCGACTAACGTAATGACAGCGTAACAACAGCGTTTACCCACGTAATAATAACAGCGCGACATAATCCGCTTCAACGGACCGCTTCGACGCAGTCGACAAAGTCGACTAGATCTTTCTTTCATCTCTTTTCACCTTTCAGTTGCATTTGTTACATTG